ATACATACATACATACACTATATGTTTTTTATTAACTTTATAGTTCAATGACCTTATTAATAACTATTTTACTTGTTTTCTTTGATCCTTGATGGTCCTTTGGATGTTTTACTTCTTCACTTTCTGTACAATATGTTGGTCAGAGCAGTAGTTTTTATTTTATTTTTAATACATTCATTAATTAATTAACATTAATAATTAATTTARTACAGTAATTCTGAGCTCATCTTAGTTCTGTAAATTGCTGTTAAACTTCAGGCAAAAGGACTGTTTTTTCGATAAAAAGCTAATTAAGCTTTTAAAAAAATAAAGTTATATCGCTCTGGATGAAATAGGAACATTTTATCAGCAGGATCTTAATCATATGCTTTACATTAATTCACTTTTGGATCAAAACCTCCTGAGCATTTTACAGTTGGGGTCAAACGTTTATTTCCACCCAGACAGACATGAATCTCTTAGCAATTTGAGGCTGTTAATGATTTATTTGAACTGTTCTTTTTCCAGGGTTGCAAACAACTTCAATAGTTTTTTTTTTTTTTTTTTCAAAAAACAACCATTTGGTGCACAAGTTTGAATTTATTGTGAATTTTTCTCCATTCTACACTGGGTCAAAATTGCATACACTGTTGTATCCATCAAAAAGCTTCTGGCATTGGCTGGTTACTGCTGCACCTACTGTGACCTCTGAAAGTTTTGTCGAGCTGAGATCGAGGCTTTGAGAAAGCGATTCTAAAAGCTTGATGTGTCAGCCTGTTTTATCCACTCAGAAACACACTCTGATATGTTTTTGATCAACTGCGTCTAMGTTTCAGATGTAGCAGTTAATTAGATGTTAAACTAAAGAATCTGGATGTARTCCTCTTATTCAATGGTAGCCACTTTGTGCAATGCATGATGCTATCACCACCACACTACACAGTTGGTAGTCTTCTTAGGTTTGAAAGCCTCACCTTGATCACCTATCTTGTCAWTGTGGCCAAATAGCTCAATCTTTGTCTCACCTGACCATAAAACTTCTCTCCAAAAGGCTCGTTCCTGTGGGCAGGTGCAAGCTTCGGTCAAGTTTGAAGATGTCACTTTTGGAGCATTGGGTTCTTTCTTGGTCAGCACCCGGTCAGATTAGGTTATTCTTGAACATCTACTCCATCTTATATCTCCCATTGTTGTAAATTGATAAGTTTTGTCAAACAAATCATTTTATGCAGAAAAAGAAAAACTACCGTTTGCAGTGATCACTACCAAGAAGCTTTAGTACAGATTCTTAAGAGCTTTGGGTGCACATGAGTGTGAATATACAGTATGGGTCACTATGTGGATTCAAAAAAATCCACAAATATTTAAAACTTGCACCAAATTTTGGTGTTCTAAAAAAAGATTGGCATTGTTCCATCCTGAAAAAAAGAATAGTTAACCAAAACATTACCAGGCTGCAACAGATCCATTATTGCTCATGATGAGTGTTTGTAAACCACTGAACTGTTATCTTATCTACCTACATATTAATGAAGATCTATCATTTATGTGTACTTCATATTTTAGATTTCCTCATTCCCCACATCAGCCATTATAATGACACAAATCTRGAAGAGTTTAGCCGTATATCTCTCTCACAAAGCCCAGTCTCATAATTTGGGCTTTACCAGTTTTAGCAGCCTGGATGTGATGCAGTGTCTTTACAGAGAGGATGCTGCCATCATGCACCTTCTGTCAGAATAACAGCAGCAAACAGGCGGACACGCGCACAGCCACGCGCCTGTCTTTGCGGTGCTGTAGGGCTTGGTTAAATAAAAATAATAACACGGTCTCTGCTCTCCCTTACCTTCCGCCCCCCTCTCCACCGGGCCCTGCTGCGGGTCTCTGCCTCTCCGTTCCCGGGCAGGGACCCGCTATCCGAGTCCTCCCCTTCCTCCAGCTCATCCTCCGGCCCCGGCTCGTCCGTTTTCAGCCGCTTCGCCGCCCTTCCGTACTCCCCTTCCTCGCGCTGACCGGCCGCCTCGTCCGTGGACATGTTGCGGGAGACTGTCCTGACGGGAAGCGGGTTCTGGAGTCCGTCAGTCCGACACGTCCATGACACAGCGCCTCTCCTCCCTCGCCTCTCCGGGTTTGACAGCGACACCACAGATTTCTGCCCAGTGTGGAGGTGTATGAAGGAAGGTCCGGACACATCCCGCCCCATGTGGCTTCTACCATTGGATGATAATTCCAGTCCATGGAAAAGGGGGCGTGTGATTGGTTAGACCGGCGCGTCGATCATTCGGTGCTCTGCAGAGGAGGACTGGGAGAAGCAAAGTGGGCAAAGAGGCAGGCCAGAAATAGCAAAGAAACATTTTGAAGGTTTTGTTTTTAAAGGTGTCTGAGTAGCCACCGCCTGAAATGCCTTTCAGCTTTTACCTGTAAAGTCAAAAATAAATGAAAACAATAATAATAATAATTTAAAAAATTTAACCCAACAAAATGCAGACATTTAGCTGTAAATACTGTATAACAAAGTGTAAAGAGAAAACCAGATCAAAATAAACGTTAAAGTTGCTGCTGGTTGCCTTTTATGGTTCCCACGGTAACCATACATTTGTGTCTCTCACTCCCTGATTGTGCTCTTAAAAGGCCAGGGAGACGGAAACAGACAAGGAAATAAGCCTCAAACCTATCTATTTCCCTCAAAACTACAACTGTTTTTGTGTGTGCAGTGTTTAACTGACCTTTTTACAGTTAATGATGCACATGCGTCTGTATTTAGCAATGCATTCTGGGTCTTATTCTAAAGTGTTCATCTAAGTTTCAGCTGTGCTCTATTTCAGACAGAAACCTCGTATTCAATAATGTGGATGCAATATTAACATGGCACCAGCAGTCTGTCAACACTGTTATCTATTTGATCAGATATTGTAATCAATGCACTATGTTCACATGACCTTTCAACATTTAATGTTTCTTTTTTCAAATCACAMTCTCTGGGCACATCACTTTATTTAGTTTTTATTTTTATTTTTTTGTCTCAGTGTGAAAAACCACAGTAATAAAAAAAACTAACTGTGGCTTCTGCTTTTGTACAGGTGCARAAACATTGCAATCAGTTGATAAAACTATTTTATTAGCATCAGCTAATTAACCAATTAGTTTCTACTAAAACAGGAAGGGCAGAGTTTAATTTTCCAGACTTCTTAATTTTATCTTAGTTTGCTAATCTGTGTATTATATTACTCACAGCTTCATCTACAAATAATGTATTTTATTTTTATTTCCTATAATGTTCCTCATCTACTAAATGTTTCTATTTTCACCATCTGTTCAGGTTAAGCTTTTGAAATGTAAAGCATAAACCTATACGATAGATGGGTGCAGAAGTCATCCTTTATCTATTTTATTGCTCTAAGTTAATTGAATATGTCACAATAAGTTTAAGACGTTCACAATGTTTGTTTACAACAAAGTTCTCCTCATACTGTCCATCATAAAGTGCCTCGAAGATGAACGGGATGTGAGATTCCACTTCCTCTCTATTACATGTGGTCACATTTCATTGTTCCTGTTTCTTTTCTCTCTCTCAAGGCTGATTTCCACTTCCCTAAASGTTTCTCAACAAAAGATGTGACTCTATACTTTACCTCTGACTCTGGGTGCAGGACTCTGCTGTTTTGTTTTGTTTTTTTACCTTATGGGTTTTATGCACCTAAAAGAAATTCAGCTCCTTCTATTCAGCAGAATTTCAGAATAAAAGCTGCTACTTAAAAGTTTCATTAGAGAGAAATAAATTAAATCTCTGTAAAGTGCCAAAGTGGGAGGCAAATATAACTTTAGATGTTTAGCAAATCCAGATGTTATCCAGGTGTATAACCTATTCAAGTGAATATTGGATGGAGCTGGAGGAGAAGCCCCGCCCAGACCTGACCTACTCATGAGGATAGGCATTAGGGGCTCAGCTGGGCTTGAAAGTAAGAAAGAGGGACTTTAAGGACAATAAGTTGGAAACCACTGCTCAAGGAAAGAGCTGGAAATATACAGTAAACATGAGAAATCACAGTTAGATACAATCTAAAAGTCAGTGTAATTCTGTATTTTTTACTAAACGAGGAATTCTTCTACACTGTCAACAATTTGCCATAAAAATGAAGTTGGTTGTTTATTTCAAGTATATTTTTAACTTGGATGGCAATGTTCAATGAAAAACATATGTGGCATGGTTCAACAACAACTGAAACTTTTTATTTTTTGTTTAGGTCTGCAAAACAAGTGCAAATTATCACCCCTGAACCACAGTGCTGACAGCTAGTATGAGGTGATTGTTGCATTAAGATCTCGTTTGGGCTCATCTCTGTTGTTTTCTCAAAGATCAGTTTGTTTAAAGAGCTACAACAGGTATTTGTTTATATCACTTACACAGAACCAGATTTCAAGTTGCTGGAATTTTCCTTGAACCTATAAGTAAACTTTGATTAGAAGTATTAGGAAAGCCCTGAAGAAATCACAGTCCTATTTAATTTAACTTGGAACAACCAACAGAAATCAGCTACATTTCCAAGAACCCAACTCCTGATTGGATCTGGGTAGTTCTGGTCCAGAATGGGGCTGGTCAGCTGTTCCTGAGCAGTTTATTGCCATTTGGAAGATTAAAACCGAGGTCAGCGACTGCTCTGCAGGGTTTTTGTGGAACAGTAAAAAACAAAAGCATATAGTTGTTACATTGTTGTTTTTCAAATTGTAAAATACAGTATTATTAAGAATTATTTAATGTTCAAACTTGAACTTGAATATACCTCAGTTTTTTTAATTTGTTCTACAGATCATTGATATTGGATCAGACGGTGGTGAAGGTGAAGCGAGTGACGTGATGGTACTCCTCACCAGGACGCAGAAGACAGTCAGGAAATGAAGCCTATAAATACGCACACACACAGACATGTAGGTGGGTAGGGTTAATCTTTTAACACCCATCATTGTTCTGCAAGTGGACAAAATTACATTTGGATAAGGACACTTCTGTCAGTGAATGTATTTTCTATTTATTAACTCGATGATTGATGTATTTCTCACATACCTGGTTGACAGCATCAGGCCAGTTCTGTGTCTCCAGACAAAAGGCGCTGTGCTTCATATACCTAAAACCACCCTTTCCTGCTATAGAGCCATCCAGGAAATTGGCAGTGTAGAACTGGACTCCTGGTTGGCTTGTAGAAACCTCCAGAACACGTCCACTGGGCGGGTGACAGACCCTGGAACAAACAGTTTTACTCCAGTCTCAACTAAATTAAATTGTTGCGTTTGTGATGTACGCATGATAAGACATCATCTGTATGAAAAAATGTCACTGGCAGCAACCTAGCAGCATGTCTTTCTGTCCAGTCATCTCTGCGTAAGGACAGACAGAAGTTGTGGTCAAACCCTTGACCAGGAACTTCCTTCAGTCGAGCGCCAATCAGAACTTGCTTTCTGAGGTCAAACGGTGTGCCTTCCACAGCCCTGATCTCTCCTGTGGAGAGTGTGGGTTACATATCAGCATTACAAACATCATTATAGAAACATCACTCAAGGTTTAAACATGCTACTGAGAGTTGGACTTGGACTGACTGAACTACTATTTTTGATATCTTCAATGTGGGGTTAGTGAACTAAATTGCTCAGGGAGTCATAGTTCCTCAAAGACAACAATCCAGGGGGCAGAGATAATCGGGAGAGGGTGTCTAATAATGGTAGAGGAAACTCTGCATTATGTAAAATAACAAATATTATCTTTTACTTTTTAAATTTGTTTATTTTGCTGTATTAAAGTGCCTGTGACATCGATTTTTGTAATAAACATAAAAGCATTTTTGGAAAGATAACATTGATAACATTTTGCAAAACAAATTTCATGTCACTGGGATGAAAGGTTGTTGAAATATTTGCATGTGAAGAAACAGGAAGTGCTGTCAAAGGGGAATGTCAGCATGTAAACAGAGCGTTGTTGCAAAACTAACAACACAGACTGTAGAGATAAATTTGATGTTTCTTTAGATTACTTTTAGTCACTATCAAAGAGAGATGAAGAGTTAAAGTGTAAAAAAAAATGTTTTAATAAATAGAGACCAGCAAGTTTATTTTATTAATGAGCTCCCGTTTGATGTCACTTCCTGTCTCACTTTGGTTGAGTCAAATTCAAAAGAAAATAGGCCAGTTATGTGACAAAATGGGTAAAATTATGTGTATTATGCCAATTTTCTTAAGTATAAAGATGCTTTCTTTGACTTTTTGTATTTGAAGAATGGGCATGTCACAGGCACTTTAAATCACACATTTAAAGTTTATTTGAAATGTATTATCTTTATAAAGTAAGAAAATGATTATATATATATATATTTTTTTTTAAACTCATTGGCACCCATGGGCCGGATGTGGCCCATGGGCTACCAGTTGAATAACCTTGCTTTAATGGTTCACACAATCACAGGTGAAAATTGTTTTATTTTTGGAGATTTTACAACAAAATATTCAGCCTACAATGTGCTGATGCCACATCAACTTTTGAGCTGGCGTTTCAAATTTTGTTCCAACTCTTCCTATTTCCACAATCTTTCCATTTCTTATAGCCTATTCATTAAATTGTAGTCATTTTTTGTCTGTTTGCAAAAAGTGTGTTTTTCACCATTAAAAAAGGACTATTGTGCCTATGTGTACTATGCCTGAAGTCCAGATGGGACAGGAGGAAAATGTCACTTCAATCTAATTTCAAAATAAAGACACTGTTTTAATTAAACCTATTTAAGGACATTTTAAAATATTTTGCGAAACAGACACAAGGTTGTAAGTGTTTTAGCTGATATGAATAGATCATTTGTTGGTCATTTACACATGCGCCCTATTTTAAAGAAGAGATTTTAGGCTTTATTTTATTTAAGAGCTAGCTGTTATTATTGTAAAAAAAATTATAAATTTGTCTTGTTGCCAGTTTTGTCAACTCTTGTACATAAAAGGTTTAATCTCAATTCTGGTAAAATAAAGGAAATACTAAAAAAAATTTAAAAATAAAGGCCATTACCTGTAGGAATGGAAGTCTCATCAACTGGCAGGTAAGACTGTGCACTGATGGACACTTCATGATCATAGACATCTGCTGCTCCCTTGATACAAACAAAAAAATAAATCTATTCAAGATTTTACAACAGGTTGTTTTGTTGGAGTCACACAGTAAAACATTTTAAGATAAGTTAAAAAGCTTAAAATAAATCAGCTTGAGTCTCTAAACATCCAGCTGTGGCTTCACAGAAAATACATGGTTGTGAAAAAAATCTATCATCTTTTACTACAAAAAGGAGAAACAACACACATCTTACTGAAGTCATCTCTGCAGAATTAATATATTTTTGGGTGCGTTCACACAGCCTTTCTTTTTCAGCGAGAAAGATATTTACCAACTTTAGCAACCACAAAATCAAAGAACCGACTCACTTCTTAAAGCCTAACACTTTAAAAAAGAAATGCTTTGTTTTCGTATGTGTGAGAGTTGTTGGACTGATTGATGTTTTTACATGATTTACAGTGGTTTGCAAAAGTATTCATACCCCTTGAACTTTTCCATATTTTGTCACATTACAACCACAAACATAAATATATTTCACTGG